AAAAATTAATTTGTGACCTATAAAATTTTTGATTCGTGATCGAAAAATAATATGTGACCTATAAAATTTTTAATTTGCGATCGAAAAATAAGTTGTGACCAATAATATGATAAGTTGTGACTAAAAATTAATCCGTAACTAATTATTTTTGGATTTGTGACCAATAAACAAACTGTGACTTACAAATTTTTTGAAATGTGATCGTAAAAAAATTTGTGACATAAAATTTTTGATTTGTGACCAAAAAATAATAAGTAACTAATTATATTGTTAATTTGTGACCAAATTGTATAGATCTGTGACCTAAATATATTTAATTAATAAAATAATTAATTAACTAATTAAATTATAAATAATTTTTAATAAAAATTTGATTTTAGAAATTTGAAACTTGTTTTCTTATTTTTGAAATGTGCCATAATTAATTTCTTAGTTATGAAATTTTCCCTTAAAAAATTAGGTGTCATTTCAATTTTATTTTTTTTTGGTAATTTTTTTAATGCGTAATTGAATAAGTTGGTCAATTGGTACCAAAATTCATTTTAAGTTTTTCTGGTTTTGAATTCGAATTCTAGTGACACGAAAAAATTTCATGAGGTAACATGGATATAAACCCTCTCAAAACAATCAATACGCAGGAGTTAAAGATTTCAGCACACACCCAAGTTGTCTAGTTACAATTCCTAATAAATTTCACGTTTTCCAGTAACGTGCCCTATTTAAAATAAGCAATAAGGTATAAGTAAAAAGTAAAGCCCAAAATTGTCCTTCTGATTCTATCCATTGCCCCAAACAAGCCCAAAGTCACAAGAATGTGACTTGTCCCGTGGATAAGCTGGATAAGGCAACGAACTGGAAAATTTCTTCTTCTCGAACTGAAATTTCAATTTTCTTCTGTCTTGAGCTTCACACGCACAGCAATGGCTGGAGCAGTGATTCATAGCATATCGTGTGGCCTTTCTGGAATGTTCCAAAGCCTCTCTATCGCCAGAACTCCAATTGCCGCCAACGCCGCCATCAGGCCCCTCAGCTTTTCCTCCGCCACTTCCCTAAACCCTTTCTCCAAAGGTTAAGAAAATATAGCAAACCCATTTTTAAGATTCCATTTTTTCTTAAGTTAGACTCGTGGATTTTTTGATTAATTGTTTGATTTTTGTGTAGGACTAGTCTTGGTAAGCCCCGTTCAAATGCCACTCCGGCGCACTATCGTGTGTGAAGCCGCGCCTAAGAAAAAGGCGGACTCGGCTGCTAAAAGGACTCGCCAAGCCGAGAAGAGGCGCATTTACAACAAGGCGCGGAAATCTGAGATTAGGACTCGGATGAAGAAGGTTAGTTCGCTTTGTTTCAAGCTCAATTTGCGTATTCATGAATAGATATAGCCTTCTGCTATTCAATTACCCAGTGACCCTTTGATCTTGGAGCTGTATAGATTTGAGTATCGTCATTGTGTTTCCTTTTAGATAATGTGCTTTGCCTGGACAATTGAGCATGTTTGGCCAAGATTAAGAACTGCAAAAAGCATCTTATAATCTAATCCGAAAAAGCTGAATTTTGCATTGCCATCAGAATTAACCAAATGTATACTTGTGCATTTTATAGCGAGAGACGTGTAATTCAATTGAAATCTAAGTATTAGATAGGCCAATGAAGTGGATACAGTATGAGGGTAAAGGAGACTAATCCGTAGATTGGGAGTCTGAGAGGTCTCCTGCACAAGCCTTACTAACGATTATACTTCACAACTGGAGGACTTTTGGCCCTTTTTGAGTTTCAAATGGAAGAAAGTACCTTTTAAAATTTATTTATTTATTATTATTATTATTATTTTCAATTTTAACTTCAGGATGTGTTTCTTTTTTGTCCTTTTTTTGTTTTCTTATTATGGAACATCAACAGAAGTATTACTCGTGTTAATTAAGTGCTCCGCCCCTTGCATCATCGTATGCCGTGCAATAATGGAATAGACTGGTTCTACAGCCTATAAGCTGTATGTGATGCAACAATTATATATTTGTGCAAGCTTCTATGTTGAAAGCATGTCTCGAAAATACTCTGAATTCTTCTAACTCGACTTGGGTCGTGCTGATTATTGTGCATTTAGAGATCATCAATTGATCCTCAAATTTCTAACTCAATAGGGGTCGAGTTGCCCCTTCATTCGCATACATCATCATCATCATCATCATTTATATATTTATTTATTTTTATTTTTTCTTTTGCCTTTTTATGCTGTTTAAAAGATTTGATGAGAAAGGTCACAAGTGTGAGGATACTCAACTCACAAATTTTTGGTGCGTCTGCATGCTATTTATGTCTGATCGTGAGTGCAAGTGTTAAAATCCCCTTGTTTCAGGGTTGTGCCTCTTCTGTTCATGAGGGATATAATTACTCCTTGCTGGCTTAGGAATCTATGGTAGCTGTACTCTAGATTCAAACACCTAGAAGCTTTGGTGAAATGCTTTCTTTCTTTTCTTCTACAAGCTTTCTGCACGACGAACTTTAAGATTCAAAGTTAATTTTAAAATAATATAGCGATACTGACTTGTGGTCATATTTCATTAGACATATACTTGGTACTCATTTGCAAACTATATGCATGTTTTGCAGCGTCCGATTTGAAAATTGTGTATTAACAATCTAGAAATGTTAAAAGTGTGAATAATTATCTTTTAACTGAAAAGAAGCAAGATATAATTCTTTTACTAGAATATTAATGCCAGGAAGCTTTATGGTGATGCCTTTCATGTTACTATGGTTAGTTGTTCGTTTGATAACTAAAGCAACTATAATTTTCATTTTCCATGGATTTGGAAATCTGATTAATTTAAGAGGTAAAGAGAAAGCATGTGGATGTTTAATATATTTAGTGCTGATTGCTGGTTTGATAACCGAAAGATCGTTATTTGTCGATGGAGCTGCTCAATAATAAAATCCTTGTACTGGATTGAAGTGGTAGGCAAAACATACACAAAATAATCATTATTCGTGGATTGAAGAGGTTGGCAAAATATGTACTGGAGTTAATTGTTTGGTTTGATAGCCAAAGGTAACATGATTTTTCTGCTTAATAACTAATTGCTACGTCTGCCTCCCTGATTACTCCAATTTTATCAAATCTTTGCCAAGCGCTCCCGACCCACAACTGGGCACTGGTGGGTATTAGATAGGGCGGGTTTTGGGGGGGGGGGGGAAGCAAATTTTTTGTCCGGACGTTTCACTTGTGTTTACGTGTTTAATGGTAAGATAAGCCCCAGAAATCCATCGATATCAAAGCAGCATAAAACACTATTATGTAGGTAAGATTTACAAATTGATGCAGGTCTGTTGCGCTGTACTAGTGTTTTATCGAAGTTTTAATTGGAAATTGGGATATTTCTGGAAAATGCACGACTGCTAAATTAGAAATAAACATTGACTGAAAGGTGAACAAAATATTTAGATGAGATCCCTCTGCCGGGGTAATCGGAATGAAAAATTATCTTTGTCTTGATTCATGTCGTGAAAGTGAAGGTACTGCACAATTTGGCATGACTTCCTTGCACAAATTGTACTTCTGAAGAAAACTTGTATAAGATCTCTGCTGTTGGATCCACCAATACTTGTATTAAAATCACCGATTTTAAAAATTTGCACAATAATTTACTGCATTACTTGATTGCCCTAATTCATATCCATATTTAGTGTCAAGAAAGCAACACTTCAATGACTATTCCATTTAAATGACAATTCTTACAGCCAAGATAGTGAAGGAAGCAATATGTTACATATGACAACTATGCTGTAAATTTGTGCTGATTTGTGAAATTCATTGCAATATTTAATTTGAGAAAGAGTAACATAGAACTTGGGTGTATAGGCTGATAATTTTCCACGGTCTTGAGTTGTAAATTGTTCGATTTGGCCGCTTCTGATATTTAAATTCTTTTCTTTCATTATCAGGTTCTAGAAGCACTTGATGTTCTTGGAAAGAAGCCCGAGGCACAACCTCAAGATGTTCTTCCCATTGAGACACTGATTGCTGAGGCGTATTCTGTCATCGATAAAGCTGTGAAAGTTGGAACACTTCATCGGAATACAGGAGCAAGGAGAAAGTCCCGACTTGCTCGAAGAAAGAAAGCCATTGAGATCCAGCGTGGCTGGTATATGCCTGCACCACCTGCAGCTCCAGCTCCCACAGCATAATGTTAATCTTTTATGTGATGTATATGTCTAGTCGATTCAGTTTATTATTTCTCCTGGGGATTTTGATCATGAGATGTTGTCCCTTTTTCCCAATATATCACTCACAACGGGGATCAAACGTTTTGTGAATTATCTTTCCCTATATCCTGTGTAGTGATGTGATGCTCAATAATGCGTACCAAATATGTCTTTCATAAATAGAGCATTGCTGACCGCTCACCTATTCTGATGGCAAGACTGAAACTTTTAGAATGAGAATCTTCAACAGTTGGAATCTGGAATGCATAATGGGGAAGGTGTGGAACTCACTTATGGTACTTCAGGATTGAACTTTTGTAATGGTCTCATGTTTGTCAAAGCTTATATAATAATTGCATAAAATCGATGGATGACAAAAATCAATAATGCGTACCAAATATGTCTTTCATAAATAGAGCATTGCTGACCGCTCACCTATTCTGATGGCAAGACTGAAACTTTTAGAATGAGAATCTTCAACAGTTGGAATCTGGAATGCATAATGGGGAAGGTGTGGAACTCACTTATGGTACTTCAGGATTGAACTTTTGTAATGGTCTCATGTTTGTCAAAGCTTATATAATAATTGCATAAAATCGATGGATGACAAAAATGAATGTGGGGTTAAAAAATAAGTAAAAGTTGTGAATCTTATAAAATGTCGAATAAAAATAGAGTTTAATTAGTTTATAAGTAATTATAAACTTTGACAAAGGTTTAACTAGTCCTAATATGGATATCAACCTTATCATTGTAGGGAGGCTTGAAAGCATGATGTTTTTACCAATATTGGCTTCTTTCGAGTCCAAAAATTGTTATTATGGAGTTATCATAGTCATGAATTCTCAACTCAAGCTATTTGAACTGTTAGGTGAAATGGGGGTGCAAAGGGGGATTCAGAATATATTCAAAAATCTAGAAAGAGCAATTATTTTCATATTACATAATCAAATAATATTCCACGTATTCAGCCAAGGTACAAATAATTGTACATACTTGATCGAATACACGCGTATTAAATATGTTCCCACCATATTTTCGTAAAAAAATCATCGATATTGACAATTAAATAGTTGGTTTTTTTGGGTATAGATGCTCGTTCCCCAATTTAAATAAGTTGTAAACGATAAAAACGTATTATGCATGTATTGTTCAATATGAAGCTCAATTTCTCTAGCTGTTTTCGTTAGTCATCTTTTTAAGCAATTAATATTTCGAAAATATTCTACCATAATTATAGCAGTCAAACCAACTATCATATGAGCTCTATGCGATTCATTCATTTGGCAGCAAATTGAGCCACTTTTAATTCTGTAATATTTTCTCCCTCTGCCGGGGTAATCGGAATGAAAAATTATCTTTGTCTTGATTCATGTCGTGAAAGTGAAGGTACTGCACAATTTGGCATGACTTCCTTGCACAAATTGTACTTTATCATATGAGCTCTATGCGATTCATTCATTTGGCAGCAAATTGAGCCACTTTTAATTCTGTAATATTTTCTTTATTACTCAGTCTAGAGTCTTTCATTGTTGTGTAAAGATAATTTCCTTCACGAGTATGTTCACCACCCCACTAAAGAAAGTCGAACAAAAGATAAGAATAAAATTGTAGTGGAAAAGGAATAAGGAAGGAGTAAAGGGACTAGGGGGGTAAAGGAGAAATATAATGTAAATAAAGGGCATATATACAAATAGGTTATCTATAGAGGGTCCAATCGGTTCCATACATTGCATATTAAGCAGAAAAGAGGGATTTTTCTCCCAATTCGTTCTATCGATCTCTGTTTTCTCAATCTTTTGTGTTTCAATAACCATTAATTTGTTTCTTACTGTTTGTATTTGTTACGTTCATCAATTATTCAGTTTCAGGTTGAAGAAAGAGACGGGAAGAGGAAAAAGAAGGGCGACAAGAATTAAAACCTAATGGGAGGCACCGGTTCTTCCTCTAAAAGAAAATCTTCTAAGAAGAAAAGCTCCAAGAATTACTCTCAGGTTCGTTTGTGTACTTTGTTTTCCGTATTTGTATACAGGTTATCTGATTAGGTTAATTTTTATCCTGTAATCCCCACGTTATAAGCTTTGATTTTGTATTCATTTTTTCGCATATTGTTTTGGGTTTATTAGATCAATAGTGCATGGTCTTTTAAATTTTCTTATGAAAATTTTGAAAATTGAAAAACCAAAAAATAAAGATTTGTTTGAGCCCCATTTTGATGGGAAAAATGAATTTTTGAATGGTGTATCGATGTGAAATGTGTGGTTAAAAAATAAAGAAAAGTTTTGGATTTGCGTGTAATATTATTTTATTGAAGAATGTGTGGTTGGAATTATGTCAAAAACACTGTTGAAGAATTCATTTTCTCTAAAGAATGGGGATCAAACAAGGGCTAAATTGTTAGAGCCAAGTAATTGTGTTAAACGTATTGAATTCTATCATTTAAATTTTCCTTCATTTTCTTGGGAAACAAGTTAGGCATTGAGCTTCTCTTGGGATAAATTAGCCTAAATCCAATTATAGTAATGTGGAATTGTTATTTAATTTTCCCATCTTCATGTGTATGTGTATGTCACGAGGACAGGTTTCACGGAAGAAGACGATTAGGAGAAATGAATCCAAGAAGCGTCGCCATCGACATGACTCAGACGACGATTCAATAAATTCGGCTAGCATTTCAACTTCCTCTTCAGAATATGGTTATAAAAGCAGAAAAAGAAAATATAAAAAGATCAGGCGTGATTATTCAATTTCATCTGATGATAATTCTATGAGTGCAGCTTCTGATTCACTGTCCAGTTCACATGATGATTATAGGAGTAGGAAAGCGAAATCTGGCTCACAGCATAGAAGGAAAAGAGCCCGTGAAAGATCTATAGTCCCTTATAGAAATAAGAATTCACATGATGTTAAAAAAAGAAAAAGATCAAAAAGAAGCCATGATGTTAAGCCTAAGAAGAAATCTTTAAAGAAGTCTAAAAAACATATGAAGGTCAGTTCTTCAAGCTCTGATTCACAGAGCTGCTCCACATACCGAAGTAGAAGTAGTGAGAGGACTACAGAGATAGGAAGGGCAAAAGTAATGTTTGATGAGGAAATAGAAGGAGCTAGAGGTAGGGATGCAATTAAGATTCACAGGAAACGCAAAGTTAGATCTCCTAGTTGTTCTTCTTGTAGTCGAGAAAATGACCATAGTGTTAGTCAAACTGAGGTCGTAACAACTGCAAATAGTTCTAGGCGTCTAAAATCAGTTATTGCTGTTCTGGAACAACCCCATGACGAAGAGGAAAACAAATGGGAGTCAGATGCAAATAAAGAAGAGATCGTGTACAATCTTGATGATTTCCCTTCTCCTAGAAGCGTTGAAAGTGATGATATGGGGCATAAAGAGGAATCGTATTATCATTCTCCTGGTGCATCCAATAAGAAGAGTCGACTAGAAGCTGTTGGAGGAGAAGAAGTAACTGAATGCTCACTCACTGTAATGGAGGGTAGTGATCAAAAAAATGATAATGTGGATATTAAGTCAAATGAGGTTGATTCAAATACTTCTGAGAAGAAAAGAATAACTGACGTTTCTGTTTCTGTGACTGATCTAGGTGGGGATGATCTAGAGTCAATTCTGAGGCAAAAAGCTTTGGAAAATTTGAGGAAGTTCCGAGGGGGGCTTCAAACATGTACTGCTAATCAGAAAATTGATAATGAGAGTGATGTCAATAAATTTTCCAGTGCAGGGGTTGATGTTATTCAGAACAAATCAACTAAGCAGGATAGCTCTAACGAGGTGTCTCTTACTCGAGAAATGGATCATAGTAGTACGCCCACATTAAAAAGGAATTTATCTCATCACAAAGAGATTAAAAAAATAACAACAGGTCATGGAGATGTTGGGCAAGAACCTAGCACCAATAAACACTACGAAGAAAATGAGGATTGCACTGCTGCTCGTGCAGTTATTGCTAAGCCTATATCAAGCACCGATCCTAATCAGGTTGCAGGAGCTACTAACGGATGTAGTTCTGCTACTATGGAATCGACTTTTGTTGAACCAACTTCTGGAGAGCATACCTTAAAGGACCCGCAAAGTGAAGCTAAGGATGGTTCACAATTTGAGCAGAAAAGAATGTCTGTAATGAGGGGTGGTGAAATGGTAGAGGTAACCGTTTATCTGTTTTAGTTAGATTTGATCAAATCTATCATCTTAGATATATGGTATTTTATATTCTATCATTTGCATCTTTTACCAGGTGAGCTATAAGGTTTACATCCCGAAAAGAGCACCTGCTCTAGCTAGGAGGCATCTCAGGCGGTGATGTCATGAAAACATAGATTTGGGGTTGATGAACCTTCGACAACTCATATGTTATGTCACATTCTACAAGCTCCAAATCTGCGTGAAGAAATAATGTCTAGTTATGGGTCAATATGGGCTGGTACATCGTCTTCGGGTGAAATTTGATTTGTCTTAATGATGTTACATTTTCATTCAGCCTGTCTTCCTCAGGCTCTAATTTATCTACCTCCCTTTTTCGTAAGGCGACCTCCAAGCTATGGGTTCTTGTTAGGCCCCAAGAGAAGATGTTTCTGCAGGTAAGAAGAAATAACTGGTCAGAACTTGGAATTTCTGAAATGTAATAAAAATCTAGCTGTATTGATTAATATTAAATTACTTATGGACATCAGAATATCGACCTTGTTTTGGTTGTCTTGTACAATTATCCCGAGTTTATGCAACTTGTTTTCCTGTTTTCCTTTCCCATAAATCATGTTTTGTCTTGGTGGATCAGCTGACAAGGGTTCTTGGGAGATTTCTTGAAATTTATGATCTATTGCTTTTGTTTCGTGTATCAGCACCAGAACCGAATTGAGAAAATAAAGTGCTGCAATTTTAAATTTATGTGATGTTTTTTCCCCCTATTACATGGTAATGCAGAAATTTGAGAATCCAAATTGTTGAAAATTTGATGCATGAATTTCTACTACATATAGATTATGCTATTATTTTATTTAAATTAAAATTAAAACATACTTATAAAACGAAAAATTAGATTCAAGACTGCAACAGGGTGAGGTAGTACAGGAGCGTGGTGGTGTTTTGTCATTCCTGTTTAAATTATGAATTAAATAGGCAGTTTTCATATGATGTGTAGATAGAACGTAGGAAATAAATTTGGGTTCATAATATCTGAACAGATACTGTGTTCGACCAGTTTAAATTGTAATTTACAAACACAACAATAAAGTAATTTTATTTATTAGGGCCAGTTTGATAGTGATTATGAGAATTGATTTTTTGACATTTGAGAAAAGTTAATTTCACGTGTGAGTGAAGAAATAAAAAATGACGGTTGAAATGGTGAAATGACAGTCAAAATAGTATTGAATTAAGAGGAACAAAATTTAATTATTTTTCTTTGATATTATCTAATATACATACCAAACATGCCCAATTGTTTTCTAAGATGGTTATGTATTATAATCATGATTACATACTCTGCCGATAGTTTGGATGTAAACGTTTTGAGTATTAAATTTGGAAAATGTCGAAGTGATCGAATTTTGGTGACCGAATGGACGATCGACCCTCACATGGAGCGTGGACCCCGCATGAATAAAATAATGCTCGACCCCCGAGGTGTGAACGTTCGATCATCCCGCATGTCAACCATTATTTTTGTGTAGCATGACCCATTAAATTTTGTAGAAATTGAATTTTTTATTATTATTATTTTTTTCTTTTGGAGAATATATTGTAAGTCCATATAAAATTATTTTATTGAATGATGTAGTTGAAAATGAATTTATAATTTATTTTTAATTTATTTTTTATTTTTTTTAAAAGAATCACCACCAGAGGCAAACACTATCGAAATTTTGGTCTCTAGAATAAGAATTTAAAGTCTCCGGATTTAGTTGTAGTTCATACACTGTCTTAAACAATGTTGTACTTGACAACCGATGAAATTTTAATAATGTCCAATCCAACCTACCAAAAGAGATGAATGACTTCATAAACCTTTTGCTCATAATTAAGTAAAAGCAAACGACTTGAAATTTTTTCTTGAAGACAGTAAAATAAAACAGAAGCAATGGGGGAAAAAAATAAATAAATAAAATTCATAGCAAAAAAGATAACCTGTAAATTGCAATTTTTTTTATAAAAAATAAAATAAAATTGAATTCTCACATAGACAAATCAAATTAGCAAGTTAAATGTACACCAACTTTCTGAACCAGAGGAGGAAAAGAACAGAGATGAACTATGTGACCAAGAAATAACAAAAATGACGGGGAATGTAAGTTACAGTTTCTTTAAATGATATTTACATTAATTCATTTTAAATTCTGAAAACAAGAACATAAATTATAACTCAAAAATATTTATCAGACCTCGCGGTTCAGGTATTTAGATCTCGGGAAACTTGGCCTTGCCATCTGCATTTGTCAGCAAGAAAGGTAGCGGCTTAGCCAAGCAGAAATATTGAACAAACCCCAGTTCTCTATATCAGTACAGTACACGATGTGATTATAAGAATGTTTGGTGTGCTAAAAAGGAAGTCAAAACTTATTTTAAAAGTTACCGCCTTTGCAATCAAAACTCAAGGCATTTCTAGACTAAAAAATTACTTTTGGGCCTGTTTAGATAACTTTTTTTGAAAGTGCTTTATCTGATTACAAGAGCTTTTATAGGAAACTAGCACAAGGTAGCTTCCCCAAGAAGCTCTTCTACAAAAAAGCAGAAGCAGAAGCTATCCCAAACAGGCCCTTACTTTTCCAAAAAGTAAGCCTCAGTTTATTTTTTCAGGAAAGTAACTTTTAAGTACAACAAAACATGCTCTAGCTGTCTAACCAGGTACTTGTTGGGTCTAATACAGGCATACCGTGTAGTTATGTTACAAGATATATGACGGTCAGCAGCTTTCTTACGAACCTTGAGAGCAAGAACCTAGCAAGTGGGCTCATATTGGCATTTGAATGAAGCTCCTTATTTTGTTGCTTTTTCTTGCTATCGGTTTCCACATTTGAAGTTGGTGTTTCATTCTTGCCCTTCGCGAAGATGCGGGATGCGAGCTCCTGCAGGTCCTTCAATGACGTTTCGTTTGAACTGCATATTTTAAGTTCCACGTCAGAAGGGCATTCTAAATGCCATTTTACACAGATCCTACATTGAATAACAGAAAATTAAAATATGATATAATAGTAAACCTTGCCAGTCGCTGAAGCAACCCAGTGACAAGTAGTTCAGACGACCCGGGCTTGGAACATTCCATATCGATTAAAGAGTTTGCCACTGTCTGGAAAACTGACCTTCTTGAATCATCAGCAATCATCTGCAATGGAAAGAACATTAAAATCAAGTTGAATAATAGTATATTGTGCATTTGGAATGCTAACCCAGAAAGGTGCTCGGTAACTACTATTAGTTTATTGGTAAACTAGCATATGTTGCTCGAGCAAATTTTCTTCTCTCAATGCAACACAAACAAAGAGTCAGAGGACGTATAGAAATTGGAGGAATCACAAGCTTTAAAAGCTAAAATTTATCTTGGCCAACAAAATAAGTTCAAAACATTCAACGATATAGAAAACTAGAGTTCAAAATCAAAATGTACAAGGAAGTTTTTCAAAACTTCTTAGGGTACAAAAAAGGCAAAAATAAAATATCCATGAGAGCGGTTCCAAAAAGAAAGAGAATCCTAACTAGCAAAGGAACACTATGTCAATATCAAATTGAAAGAAAACCATAAACAAGGACATTATAAGGTAATTTTGATGCCAGTATATACAATTTTACTCAACCATAGATATTTTTAAGATAATTGTGGCGCAACTCACTCAATAAATCCAACTTTTGTCCAAAACCATTTACTTCAAGTGGAAATTCTATACCTCGTTATAAAAGGATTAATAATAAATTTTGCAGTCAGAGAAGAATTTATAATTTTGATTTATCTCCAGCACTGTAATACTCCAAAACTCTTCAAGACTTCATTTACAAAAATTGACATAATACAAATGCAGAGTCCACACTCGAAAGCAGCAATTCTTTCGTCTGATTTGATAGAGGCTTCAATCAGCTTTCAAGAAAACATTTCTAACAGAATTTGTTTCATGACTGCTGCACTAAGACAGCACAATTTTAGTATCTCAATAAGTTTATATTCCACAGCTCTTTGTAATTCCACATTACTTCAGCACTAATCAGGGGTGGAACCAGTATTAATCAACTGAGGGGCTTGCAATTTTTTTTACAATGACTTTGACAGTACGAGAGAAACGAAAAGATAAAAATAGGGGCACAGTGAGCCTTACCCTTAAATTTGCATATTTAGCCCTTGTTTGAGCCCCGTTTTTATCAAAATACATTTTTTTTCTTTTTTCTTTTCAACCAAACATTCTCCAAAAAATTACTATTCCAAAATACATTTTTAGCAAAAAATAAGGCTCAAACAAGGGTTAATATAATAAATTAACTTAAATTTTTTTTGATAGGTAATAAATTAACTTAAAAAAAATTAGTAAACACATTTTACGTAACCATATTTGGCTAGCAACTTTTTAAGTCCACATATTTAACTGTTCATATAGTTGGTGACAAGTTCTTTGAAACAATACTGAGAACCTACCCGACAATCGGGAAATATAGCCCAAAAAAAGCCAAACGAGGTGTCAGCCACATATTAGATTTATTAAAGCCACAATTTTTTACTAAATATTGCGACATCATCGTTTAGCGATGTTACAAACTGAAATGTTCTTTATGAAGTATATCATCCTAACACTTGACTATAATTCGAAACCTAAAAACAGGTTGATAAAATGGACTGCAAAATTCTCTCTCTCAATATATATATATACACCCACTTTTTTTTTTTTTTTTTTCCCCTTTTTTTCCCTTTTGCTGTCGCTTGGAGTGGGCTGGAACTCACCCTACCCACCCCCTAGATCCACCCTTGACTCTAACAAGAGTAATTTCCCTCAAGAGCATCAAAGAGATAAATTCTTTTCATTCTTAATATGATCTGCCACTACAGTGTCCCACCAAAACAATTTAGTGTGGAATTACCATTTCAACTTCCTTATAATCCAATCTATCCCTAGAGAAATTCCATTTTACAGTTAGTCAGCTATTTCAACCGCCATTCCCTGAACTCATTTTTAACCACCGTCTTCATATAGTAAGAATGGTTAATTCATACTAATTTGGATTTTCTTTTAAGCATTAAGCGTGATATTATTCCTTACTCTAATCAATTAGTGATTGCCTTGTCCAATTCAAATCAATACTTGGTATAAGCCTTTTCAAACTTTTATTTCTTCCCTATGAGTTACACATCCTAATATCTTTGATCGATTGATTTTTTTTACATTCAGCAGCATTTAGCATCAACATAATCTTTTGGATATTGAGATAATGGGGGGAAAAAAAACTAAAATCAAATTCAGGAAGGTCTATAAGCAATAATCTCAGTATTTACCTCTTTAAGTGATGGGATAAGAAGCAGGGATAATGGAGCTGATGAAGATACTGCAGCAGTTCTTGCATTGTCTTCATCATTTGATTGGCGTGATCCAGAAAGTGCTTTTTGTGCATCAAAATAATCCCGAGAATGTCTGGGTTGAGGTTTCATGTTTCACAGTAGGGGAAAACATTTTATACGAATTATTTATGGTCAGATGTTAATCTTTTCCAAATGGAACTCTTTTGTGGCAACACGTCAAAGTCAAAAACAAGACGTGTAGTGTGCACATAAGATTTACCTTGACAATTCAGAGCTTGTTGATGATTGTTCCATTCTTCTGCTTTCCTGCACATCTCTATTGACGTTGCCCAAGATAGACCTTTCCTTAACATTTCCTTTTCTGGCTCCTGCTTGAATTGCAGCCTTCGCCTATATAGAATAGCATAAATGAGCAATACAGTAAAATTTATCATGTTAAATTAAGTTGTAGATAACTACCAAGTTGATGCACAATATGGAAATCTTTCTAGACATTCTGAATAATATTAGGCTTTAAAGTGAATCAGTGGAAACATTGCATAAAACATGCTAAGAAACAAGAGCAAAACAATGTCATACAGACGCAAAGCAGGTAACAAGATGCATGCTAATAAGTTAGATTTCAAACATTCAAAAGTATACCTATTTTTTGGAAATAAAGAGCTCTCAATTTCTTGAGTTCTTACAAAATAAAATAGTTTCACTAATTTGTTGCTAAAAGATTTGACAACTTTTCATGATCATTAGCCAATTGGAATAATCTTTCATATAGAAGAAAATATTAAATGGAGCTTCAATTATTATAAAGCTTAAGTGAATGTTGGGTGGTTTGTGTTTAAACTACATCAAGGTTCAAGAGGAATATTATAAAATTTTAGCAGATGTTTTGACTTGATAAGCTAATAATGGGACAGAGTATGTAAGGAAGCAAACAGAAGTTAATAGGAAGTATGACAACCTCTGCGAGGTTTATAGAACTGTCTTCAACAGACACATTAGAAGTCTTTTCTTGAATTCCCAATCTAGACTTTGGGGTTCGGGGAGAATCTGAATCATCATGCTGTCCACGGTAAACAACAGTGCCACTGATGGAAGCATCTTCGACAGAGGTAAATGTGCTGCTAGACTGGAATGCCAATAGGAACCTTATTGTATTAACAGCAAAACAACATAAGTACATCTTTGCAAGTTCAACCAGACAGTACACCTACCATGGAACTTTGGTTACTGAACAGAGAGGACGTCTGACCTCTTGGAGATCGTACGACGACAGTTCCTGTCCCGGTTACTTCCTGCAGTGGATTGAGAATTCAAAACATTTTTACATAATGCAGTATTAGAATATAACATATTCTTTAAGTTCTTTGAGTAAAGTTCATGCCATTCAATCAATCTTAATATTTGCCACTCGTATCTGTTTGAGATATTGATTTTCAGAACTCTGCATAAGACAGAGCATTGATAATATCAAGAGGTTGAGTTAAATTTGCACCAGGAATTATTTTTATCGGGGAGATGACATTCGCAAATGTGGCATAGATGCAAAAATGTGTAAAATTCAGATTCAGGTCGTTGACAAGTTCATGATATGCAATGTGCATGAAACCGACTAGATCTGATAATAAAAAAAACTCAATGCTGACATCAGAAGCCCAGATCATTAGCCAGGTGCACCAGACTACAGTGATATAATAGCCAAACAATGACAAAGTGATATTTGCTTATACACAAAGGAATCATAATGTTTCCAAAGACTAGATTCCCCATGTTTCAAGGCAGGTTCTCTTATTTGGATACCTTAATACTTTTACTTTAGATTGAATTTAAATAATTTTCACAATATTCAGCTTCTGAACTTTCAGATCTAAGCTACATAAAAAGTATGCATACATGATGTGCAATAAAAGCAGTATGAATATATAGGAAGGGGTAGCAGTTCCATACATCTTCAAGATGGTTTTTTTGCTTCATTTCATGGTTAGCATCTTTTCTCATGGAGACCTCTGATGAATTATAAAGCACAGTTCCAGAAGCAGAAGACCATTGATTATCAATCCCTACATTTTTTCTGGAGGTTGAATGATTTGAAGGGACCTCTGGCTTCCTATCTCTAACCTGAGGTGGTCTAACTACATTCCGCGAGGTTCGCGTGCCAGTTGATCCACCAATGCTGAAGTCCCATCCAGCATTTTTCAGACCCGTTGCCTGACTACTGTCAAGTAGTACCAGTAAGCCAACATACTCCAGCTTAGACAAGCAAACATAAAGTATTAACAGATTCAGCAGACCTGATTCGAACGGTATCTTCAACTCCAGAATCTCTAGTCACCTTCACAGTACCAGAAGCCTCCCCCAAAGGCATTGGACCATTTTTAGGACTTTCTTCATCTATTTTGAACTTTGGGCGCTCTCTGTACGATATAAGAAATGCAGGTTGTTGCATCACTTAATTGCAATATAAGGGTAACTTAAACGTGATTTTAAATTTTGAAGCTTCAAATACTAATATCTAGATACATTTGTAGAGCAGCACATTTCAGTTCAAGCGTCACGAAATGTCAAATCAAATGTCAAGTCTTTGCTAATTTCTGAAGCCCAGAAAAATAATTAAATTTAACTTATAAATGAACTACTGAAAATGTGGGACTAAGGACAACTTTTAAGTAACAGAAAATGACAATTAAGAACATGTTGGGAAGTGTTTATAAACAATTTTAATTATAAATAAATAGAAATGAGTGGTGGATTGGTATTTGGTAATACTTATGGGTCCCATAAAATGTGTGAATAAAAAGTAATTTGAGTGTTCATAAACATGAGCCAAACATAGGCTCAATCACGCTTCAAATTTTCTTAAATAGCAATTATGCTTCTCTTATACCATCATGCAAGGCATATAAATTTACTGGAAACCAGGCACCAATAAATTAACTCTTAGAGTGTGTTTGATTGACATGGAAAATATCACTTAGAAAAAAAAATATTTTCCATCTTTTGTGGAAAATAAAAACCACCTCTACCCAAAGAAAATATTTTCCTTAAAAACAAGGAAAATTAGGCATATTTTCAAAAGTTGAAAAATGTTTTCCATGGAAAAAAATAGCAATCAAACACTCCAAGTGAAAATTTGGATGGAAAACTGATATTTTCTATGGAAAATAAATGTAATCAAACACACCCTTAGTGTTGTAACAATTGGTCTTGGAGGAAAATTTCATGGTAAAAATTAGTGTAGTGAGAGGATAAACCTGATTCTCTCCAAAAGCCTTGGACTCTTCCTTGCATTTCTGATAAAACGATGCCTCAGAAGTTCCTTTGCACTTGGCCTCTAAAATTATCAAACAAAGTATAACATCAAATGACGAACAAAACAAACAAGGAAAAAGAAAAAACGAAAAATCAAAATAATGTTTTCGATCTAACTAAAACGTAGACTGCAGGAGAAAGTACGAAACAAATTGGCATATGTCAAAACCAATTCAACACATGAACCTGGCATAAAGAATGTTCAGTGAAAATAGAGCTTACTTCAGCTAGCTTCCCTACAAACTAATTTTTTTTGCTGATTTTAATTAAATGAGCTCGTAGAGGACTTTGATCTCTATTTATTTGGTAGAAAATGATGGAACAACATCTCAGAGCATGAGAACAGTGAAAACCATCACGAATGCATCTGAATCAAGTTACTGATAAGGGTTTTGATATGATTACTCCATCATAAGCAAGTTTCAATAAACAAGCATTGATTCCTAGAGAATACATTGTACAAATGTGACTCTAGGTGTTCACCATTGATCCCTAGGGTTCACACAGCATTCTTGTGTCAATAGCACGTTGGAAATTTAGTTAGTATAACAGAGGCTACACTTTCTTAAGATGACAGAGATGCATCTTTCCATAGTCCATTAACTAACACAACAGAAACAGAAGTTAGGCGCTCAGCAAATAATTCTTATGTCTTCATCCATCTCCAGGCTCCAGCGGATCAGTTAAACCACAACCCCACTTAGCCGGACCAATAAGGCTGTAGAGAAGTTGAAATCACCATATGTGGAGAAATCTCTTTTATGTATAGTTACATCTAGAACAAGAAAATAGATTTATCCCAACTTTTTAGAAGAGGTGGTTTAACATAGTATCAAGCACGCAGACATCATGAGTTCAAGTCTTGCAGGCACACATTTATGAAAATGAAAAATTGTGCACATGTAAGGTCTTTCATTAAAAAAAATAAAAATGAGCCAGCCTATGCGTGAGGGGCGTGTCAAAGAATGAATTTATGTAAATAAACTTGTTCTTTGCATAACAGCTTAAGCTTTTATTTAGATGAGGTGGTTAAACTGTTAAACCTTTAGATTGTTAGCAAATAAAGTTGGTGAGTCCCATGAATGTGTGGTTAAAAAATGAATAAAAGTTGTTAGTGGAAGGAAATGTGTGGTTAAAAATGACATTTGACCAATTTGTCCAGCTTTTTAACTATATATAAGTAGCTTGACCAAACAAGCTCTTGGGTTTCACCACTATTCTAGCAGTCAAATAAAGGTCCATGACAAATGAGGCAAGACTCATGATGAGAAAAAAACGTGTGGACACCAGAACTCATTTGCAAAGGTGATTTTCTCCAATCCCCATATTAAAGAGATGAGACAACTATGAGAATTAAGATGTTCATGTTATTTGACTTCCAATAAATTCAGAAACATAAATAATTTAACGACAGAGAACAAGAAAAATGTGAAGCACCGGATGGACCACAAACAGAAAACCAAGCACGCGGAGTGTGAGAGAGAGTGCGAACTTAATAGAACCTACCTCTGCAGGATTCTTCTTCAAACACAATGATACAAATTCTTTCATAGGACGAGAAAAGTGCTCATCTAGCTGCATGACAAAAGATTAAACCTCCTAATCAGATGAGCGACGATAGGATTATCTGGCAATGTAAACAGAAAGTAAATATACACCTGTGGTGGATTCTCTCGTGGTATAATAAAGAGAACTCTCATGGGATGGAGGTCTGCAAGTGGAGGTTCTCCTTTTGCCATCTCAATTGCAGTTATACCCAGAGACCAAATATCAGCCTGCATTAAGTCCAGCATCAAACAGGGAGGAGGAGCACAAGACAGCATATTCAGAAATAGATTTATGAGATAAAACGAAACTGGAATAAAATGATGGAAGAAACCGGGGGGGGGGGGTGAAAATCAGGATGTTGCACCTTCTCATTGTATCCTTCAGAGTTCTGAATTACTTCTGGAGCCATCCAAAATGGTGTTCCTACAAATGTCTGTAAATATTAATTGCATTAGCTTGAGGTTTCATAATTCCTTGGAGCTCAATAAATAGTCAATAACCAGAAACAAGAAAAGCAATGTACTTTAGCCACATTAAAAATAGAAAAAAAAATGCCTTAGGTTCATTAACTAAACTGGAAAAGCATCTATTTAATACAGCAAGCAGATGAAGATAAGTGGAAACATAGTTAGGGAGAGGATGCTGTCTTTACTAAGATCAATGTCATATCACTAAAACTATGTAGAAAAATGATTGGCAACTGCATAGATTTCAACATATTCCCAAATTTGTACGCCTCATTAATGAATATTAGAACCACGGTCTACAAGACAAGGCATATTTCATAGGAGAATACTTATAATTTAGGAAATAAGTACCTTTCTTCTTGAAATTGTCCTTGTTAATTGAGCAGAAACTCCAAAATCTGCAACCTGTAAGAGTAAAGAAACATAAAATCATCAAAACAAGAAGCTGACATCTTTAACTCTATTCATAAGGGACACTCTCCAAGATGGTGTAAGAAAATTTTAAGATTCGTGAATTTCTACAAGGATACCTTAACATCACCATTTTCTGTCAACAAAATGTTTGCCGCTGCCAAAACATATCAAAGAGATTAATGGATTATCATTTCTGAAAAATTTGAGGAAGAAGAAAGAGATTGCTATTGCATAGACAAATTTAGAGAACGAAGACGAGACTGATAATGTGAATATAATGCAACAACTAGACGGAAAATGTGATCTTCCTTAATAAAAAACTACATAATCAGAGGATATCTTGATACCTAATTTCATTACTTCTAAAAGATTAAGAGGATACAACAATGATAGACCAATATTGTAGATCTAGAAAATGTGCCCATGTATGTCTCTGTTCAAAAGTGTGATGAGACCTGATTCTTGTTATAATTGATGGCCCCTTGTAATGTACCTTTAATATCTCGATGAATTTTCCCTTCACTGTGCAGATATTCGATTGCATGAAGCAAATCACGTAAGATGCAAGATATAGAGACTTCATCCAGTGGCTGGTTCGGTTGAATCTGCAAGAGAAAAATATGCATAAGTATCCTAATCAATGTTCTGTAATAGCGTCCATATCACTGTTCTTTTTACCTTGACTTATGATAAACTCAAAAACAAAAGATCCTCACTCAGGGGAAATGTTTGTTTCATAAATGTAAGGATCATACATTTATAAGAAATAAAAAACCATAACCCATTTAGGTCGGTCTGCAATAATTAGACCAAACATTGGCCATTGAAATGTCAACTACACACGTCACAATCTAGACATTGAGAGGAGGATTTATGCACTAAATTAGAATGGATGGTACAGTATTTGGACATGAAGAATACTTCTCAGTAGAAGACTCGCAAAGAAAACCTCAATGAGCCTCCAAGGGAGGTATATACATAGGTCTTGTGAATGAATTTTTATAGTAATGTTCGATTGGGTATAAAAAGACAGTTGCAAACCATATGAAGTTTACCAAACAAAAGAAAGATAATCACTTCTAACTGCCAGTGAATAATAAAAAATAAAAAAATGGAGGTGTTGGTTGATAGAATGATATATCCACAGGAATTTAATAACAAGGAATAATTGGTATCTTAGAGGGTTCAGATCAACATAAGAAATTTCCTATCTGACCTCTAATTGTCTTTTATTTATTTTTTTTTTTTTTTTATAGATAATCAAATATTTTATTAATCTTCGATAATACACAGGTAGTGTATTATCAATATCTGACCTCTAATTGTAGCAAGTTTTAACATGGAATGGAGTCCAAATTTGAGGCAAGGACTTGCAATATGTAAATTACCTACCAGATCAGCAACAGAACCACCAGCCATGTATTCCATTATTATCCATAGCTTAGTCTGGTGCAGAATAGAAGCATAATACTCAGTGATATATGGAGATCGACATTGAGAAAGAACTGCAATTTCCTGTTGAAAATGAAAAGTAAATGAAAAGCAAATCAATATTATTATATATTCATTCCTTAATGTACATAAATGTCACAGATACCGTTTGGATGTCCTCAATTTCATCCTCTCTGCAGAAGAAAAATCAGATGACTGTTTAGAATACTCACACAGGCAAGTTAACATGCAGCAGCTTCAAAGAAGGCAGTCTCTATTAGGTAAGCCAAATATGACACAACCACATGTATTTGCTTCCTTGGCAAGGAGATCATAAGATAAGAAGCCGTGCTAGTAAAAAATGACTAATAGTTCCTCTCTTACCAAGCATATGCATAAAGAACGATTCTTAGATAAATAAAGTCGCCAGAATAGAATAAACCAGGATCTCATATTTTTTTAAAAAAATGATCAAAGTTATATACTCACGACTCTTCTAAATCGATGACCTTTATGGCAACTTCCTTGTTTAGCTCCTTATCAAACCTACAATAGGAAAATGGCAGAAAGATCTAGTTAATCCAGAAAGAAATATTTATGCTCATATGATCAGTATTTTATAAAGGAAGTGTAAACCGAGACAGCAATATAGGAATAGCAAGAAAAGCACTCTAAATTCGTTCATGGCTGTCACTTACTCTTGAAGTGGGCTTTTCATGTACATTATGATGCTTTCAGTTAATTGCAGTTTTTTCCTCTTCAATTACTTAAATGTAACAGTCCTACGGCTTCAAGTGATGATCAGCTAGGGATTCTTGAAAGATCACATCATGAGAATATGCAGCTTGCAAGCTAAAGTGTAGATGGAATTTCATGAGTCTATTTCCCTACTAATTTGATCAAAAATCCTACTGAGTATTTGAACAAAATACTGATTAAGCATTTTATTATTCCACTGCTAAGCATAGAATGTTTGTGAAGTTATTACAATTTAGAACTTGTTTGGGAGAAATTATAATGAGATTATAAGGAAAAGGAATAATAGACCTCACAGAATGTGTGAATAATAAGAGTATAGTAGTTGTAAATATGTTGTTAAAATTAATGTTTGACTTTGATTTCCAATTATAAGGAGATTATATCTTTTTCCACAGATGCACTTAATTACTTCTAATCAAATATACTTTTTTATCCACAACTACTTTCCACTTAGTATCCACACATCCCTGTAAGACCCACAATTTATTAACTGGTGATTGCCAATTAAGATTATCCTGATAATTAAGTACAGCTCAAAAAATCATATGAAAGCAATACAAATTTACAAAATCAATGAAATTGTTAGAGTAAGCGAAATAAATTTTGAAATTTAATTTTACAGCACGAGGATTTCTCCCTGATGCCTCAGTGTATGCATACTTTTTGCTATATGTTCATTGCATTACCTATCAAATTGTTGCTCTGCCTTTTCAACTTAAAGCAAAAGGTAGATAAAACTATACACCATGACAAAAGAAAACTATAATCTTACTAAAAATCAATATTATACCAGCCCATTTACACGAAGAAGCATTAACCCAAAGCAAATATAAATACACTTGAAAAGAAAATAAAAAAACAAATTCTCATTGTGACACAACCATGTATATGCAGCTACGTATTTACACAAGATGAGGTTGCAGAACTCGAACGGCAAAGTTAACAAAACCATTAACAATGAGTTAAGCAATCCTATATGATTGACAAGTGCAACATCATCACAGGCACATTTGCTAACATTTTGTGGAAATGAAAATGGGTGAAATAGTGTTTTTTTGAAAAATGAGTGGTTGAAAAAGAAGGAAAAGTTTTTGATTCACGTGTAATATTATTTTATGGAAGATTGTGTGGTTGAAAATAGAAGAGAGAAAAATGAAATGTAATGGAATGGAAATTAATGGGGGCCAAACAAGGGCTTAACCTGTTATTGAGTGCCATTATCTAATTACATCTGCTTGCTTCCATCTGTTGCCCAAATGAATTACTAAAATTTTTGGCTTTTCATCATTTTCTTCAAATTTGAAGGCTATTATGCCAATATTATTTATTATACAGATTGACATAAAGGTATCATGTTTTTAATATCACAATACAAAATCCCATAACAATTGTACCATGTTACAACAGGATATGCAGAATGAATCAATTAATATAATACATTGCAACTTAAAACTAATGTTGAGTGTATAGTCAACTGACAGAAATTCGAACTTACCCCTTGTAAACATCGCCAAAGGACCCTCTTCCAATGAGCTCCAAATCACTAAATCTGGATCCGGAGTCCTCTATCAGAGCTGCCACATCGGCCATTACGTCTATTTCTTATTGTCCTTGGAAAGAATAATCTTCCCCACTCACACTCAGTGTTAGAACAAACGTTACAACCAAATGATCAAAACCACTCTAATTCCAGAGATTTCAGGAACAATCATCAGATGGGCTTGCTTAATTCAACTTTTTTGCTTGTTTTCAAGACTATCCAAAATCTGAAAACCATTAAAAAACTACTAGAACTATTAAATCGGAACAGACTTTAGATCCAACATATAATTGAAAATTTCAGAAACTACAGTAGGAACACTAACGTGGAAAAGCAAATGGAACTATTATATGATGGCAAGCAAAATAGTCGTTAGGTAAAGTGGAGGATATAAAAGTGACAGCGGAACAAATTTCATGGGATGTTTCACACAATTCAAATCTTTAAACCCCAAAAAAAAAAAAAAAAAAAATTATTGCAAAGCAAAGACGCCAAACAGCGACTCAGATGTAAGGCATAAAATTCTCCTTCAAAAGGAGAATAAAAGGACAGAAAAACCAACCTTGCGCAATGCGGATTTGAAAGGTGAATTCAAGATTAACAGCTGCGACGACAGAATTTACCAATCATGAAATTGACAATTGAGACTGGAGATCTCTTCGGGTGTGTATATGCATGCAATCTTCTTACTCTGCTCTCCAGAACTTGGGTTTTACAAAGTAAAGAACAGGAGTCGGGATTTGAGTGAAAATACAAAGAAATGCTCCTCATATGCGAAATCATAATTATTATCGTGGCAAAATAATTTGATTTCGGACCGGGGAAGTTCAATTCAACCGGGTTCGTGGGTAACCCGATTGCATGTGGTTATTGTCACTTTGGATCTTGCTACATTTACTTCAAAATTTACATAATATCACATAAAACTCTAACATTTATTTGTTTAAAATACGATCAATTTTTTCGTCCAATATTTTCTCTCCATATTATATTATGTAATTATTTATGTACATTTTTTTATATACAAGTAGTAAAATCATTTCAATTTTCCTTCCCATTTCTTAAGGGTAAAAATAATAAAAAGGAAAATGCCACATTAACAGAAGGATTTGGCCAAATTGTTTGACAGAAGACAGTGTGACATTTTGTGATTGAACGAAAAATGCAACTGTATTTTAAACAGTTCAATAATAAAATGTCATGTAATATTATATCAACCATTATAGCACTGTAACATGATTCTAGTAAAAATACTTATTGTCATCGATTTTATAAGTGTGAATATAATTTTCATTAGTGGAACCATCTTTTAATTTTACTTAAAAGCATCAATCTTTGCCCATTGTAATATTTTTGTCCATAGTTCTTTTCGTTTAATTCTTATCTTCAACATTTTATTAACTATAACAAATCTTGTCTTTGATTATGGTTTCAGTTATAATATTTTTTGTGTGATTTAAAATGAGAAAAAATATTTTGTTACACTTTTACACTTGATTATTTTTTCAAAAATATGATTAAAAATAAGTTATTTTACGTCTCCGAACATATTTGTTTGGCAAAAACCAATATAAGGTGTGAAATGTGATAGTTATTGAAATGTTGAAGATAAGAACATGTAAAAATATGTTAATGACATTAAACATAAAATGTGGTATAAAAAAATAGTATAAATATAATTTTTCCTTTTTTTATTATGTTGGCGGTTGAAGATGGAGACGGTGGAATTGAACCTCCGCCTTCTATATAGTAAATTCCCATGTGTGCATCTTCAAGTGGTTTTGGCTATGGTCACCAAATATTAACAAAGGAGTTTATGCATTTGTTAACGTTATCTACATTTGACTAATGGAAAAGGGTTTTGAATTAGCAAATGTTTATAAACTACTTATAGCATTTAAACTAATAAGTAATTTATACGGAAGAAAAATACTGAGTCTCCTGAAATGTGTAAATAATTAGCCTCTCTTTGATTGTCAAAAATAATGTTTTGAATAGTGATTTTTAGAAGAACGTGTGGTTAAAAAGTAAGATTTTTTTTTTTGAATTTATATGTAAAATATTTTATTATATGAATATGTTATTGAATATCAGTACATAGAAAAAAGAATTTTTAAATAATGGTTATCAAACAAAGGTTTAATTAGTGATAGCTGTGGATATGTTGATTGAAATTAATGTTAAATTTTCACTAAAAATCGCATGGTGTATGTTAGAATTATATTGCTCAATACTGCAAACAAATTTATAAATTTCTGTAGTACATCTGAGAATTCTTAATTGACCAGTGGTAAATAACTCCAATGAATTCAAATACTATATTCTGGGGATCGGGTGCAAGTATCTGACATTACAAGTTAATGATGGTGATGGTGGTCGACAGTTAGGGATTGAAATGGGGATGGATAGGACTGATGCTCCAAGAATGAAGAAGCCAATAGTCTTTAAATTGAGAATATGGCAAAAGTATGTTTGAGATTTGTATTTAGTCCCAATTTGATGGGGCTTAAAAAATAGATAAAAATTTAAGTCGAAATCAATAATTAATTTTCACATATTTAATGAATTTTGTAACTTTTTAACTATATATTTCATCAACATTGTTCAAAATTTATTAAAGAACTGATTTTTAGCTACACCAACCAGAGACATACATACGTGTATATAGTGAAATTTTCACCTTTTTGGGTTATTATGAATATGGGCCGCTTATTGGGTTTTAGTATGACGATGGGCTTATACGTTTGGTTGAGAATGGGCCTTATCTTTGCTTGTCGGCCCTCTTCTCTTCGTGTTTCAAAAATTGTTGTGCAGTCACGTGTTTCAATTTACCTTTGTATTCGAAAGAGCAAAAGATCAAGTGCTTGTTTGGTAAGGGGAAAAAATCAAATTTTCATTATAATTTGAAGATAGAATCAAATACTAAAATAATTATATTTTTATTGACAATAAGGAACTTTTATGAATTATATTTTAGAGTTAAGAGCACTCAAATAAATGTATAATCTAATTTATAAGTGATTTTTAGTAGATTTTGATAAAAGTCAATAAAATATATGATTAAAAAGTCGTAGATTCTATGAAATGCATAGTATAATTGTTAATTATAATTGTTAATTTTTATCAATTTTTTAAACTGCATCAAACAAGAGCTTAAGTATAATGAAAATTTAAGTGTATATACATATGTCCCTATTGGTACAGATTTTGCAAAATTTATTTTTCATAAATTCATTGTCAATTATACATTCTTTTAATAAAATAATTTTTCACATAAATTTATAAAATTTTTCTATTTTATTATTATACATTCTTTAAAAATCAAATTTATTTTAAAAAAAATCTACACCAAAGATGTCCAAATGTTCAGTGCAAAATGGATGCTGCGCCCGGCAATTCGTGCGTTGCTCCTTTGTTTATGAGAACCGATGCATCGATTAACTGCTATGGCACATGGGCATGTGACTCTTTAATCTCACTTTTTTCACTTATTTTCACCTTTAATTGCCAGCTTAATAGATAATCATTATCGTTATAATTAAATTAACTTGAACAATTTTGGAACATATTTGGGAAGTGTTTATAAATCATTTAAATTATAAATAGTTTAATAACAAATAAGTGGATAATACTAACATATTTCATCAAAGTTCAAAACATATGGAGTAAAAATGAATTGAGTATTTATAAACATGATCCAAACACATGCTTATCGGTTCCTATTTTTATTTTTTGGTGCATATTTGTCAAAAATATAAATTATAATTTAAATGTATCAAATATATTTTTTATCCACACGTTTTGGTGGACTTATAACCTATTATCCATATAATTCGATGACCCATAGCTTAACACTCAAAACATAATTAAACAAACACTTGTAAGAGAAGTCCCATTCGTACGAATGTGACACACGGTGTTGGGTGGGATAAGTTACTCCTCGACTCAATTAGGCTCGCGTTGCAATGAGCTATGTGTGTGAGTTAAGTAGTGAATCACTCCTGCAAGCTACTTCCCTCAAGCTCATATTTTAGCCAAAAAAGTGCAATTTTTGACTAAAGCAAAAGGAAAAATTGCGAGTGGCTCGCGATTTGGCTCAACTCGTCCTGCGAAAGGGCGAGAAAAGCCCAAATTTTGTAGGCATGTCAAGTTGTTCACTTCGCCCCCCATTTAACACCTCTTATTGGTAAAACGATTCGTCACGCATCAAACTATTTTATGAATTCATGCGTGGAATAATTTTGGAGCTTAGGTTAGGAAATAGTAGTTAAAAATGAAATTTGGCAATTTCATACATCTTTGTCTTTCTTTATATGAGAAACTTGTAGTGTTATAATTAGAGTGAATAATAGTATTTAACATCAGCGTGTTGAACACGACTTCAAGTATCAACATATCACATGTTTCTATTAAATTGGTCATAAATTCTTGTATTTAATTAAATTTGTAATTTAATATTACAAATGCTTCTACTTAAACTGATGTTAAAACAATAATAGTGCTTAATATCATTACTATATTAGATTTGATAGTTTCACTATCACATAATTTATTGCTTGACCATTCTTTAGTAGGGCAGCTTATCACGTCTTCATGTATGCGACCATTTATTCATTAATTAAAATGTCAAGTCTTTCAATAATCGTTCAATTTACAACCTACTCAAATAAAATATTCAAATGCCGATATAACTCATCACATATTTCAACATCTCAATACTATTTACGAAAAATTGTCTCTTTCATCGTTTGAGCAAAAGACTTCACAATTCTCGTATCGTGTCTTAGCCTTGAAGCAAGCTTGCTCAAATGAAAAAGAAGTGCTCATATCTCAAAATTTTCTAGTAAAATATATATGATTTGTACAACTTTTATTATTTATTACTCCATTATTATATGTTAAAAGTCAGTCCTAATTTGCATTTGAATGGTAATAAAATATTGCATTTGCATTGAAATCATCAACTATGCAGTATTATTGAAGTTAAAATCTTATATTTTAGAAGAAAAACAGAGTTTCAATTTTCATATGGCCATACAACAAACAGTTGGATATATGCGCCTGTGTAACTTCTATCGTTGACTGACTATAGAATGTTACCTTTGCAAGAAGGTTACCTCTCTCAATCTCAATGGATTGTTACCTTGGCAAGAATGTGGGCCCTCCTACTACTTATAAACTGGAAGTAGCGTACTATTTTTTCCCCCTCTTTTTATGTCCCCATTTAATCAGGTTTGGTAATCTGATAAGTGATGAAGGTAAAAAGTAAAGAGAAAAAGTGGTAACAATGTGATGAAAAGAGTCTCCTTACGCCTCTCCTCTTATATTTTATAAGCATTCTTCACTGCGCTTTGCTAAAGCTAATACACCACAAAATTACTTAAAAATATTTCTTCTAATTTTCCAAGAAAATTACTGAAAGAAGCCATGGTGGGCTCGGGAGCAACAGACAGAACCAAAGAAGCAGTTGGGATGATGGCCCTTCACGATTCCCTCAGAACCGTTTGTTTAAATTCAGACTGGACTTACTCTGTTTTTTGGACCATTCGTCCTCGCCCGTATATTTTTCCCTATTTTAGTCAGATTTATAGTTTATGCACTATGATTTTCTTGATTTTTATGCTAATTCTTTGTTGGACCTTTTACATTTCTTGCAGTAGAGTTAGAGGTGGTAATGGCTGCAAACTTGGAGATGAGAATGGTAGCTTGTGAGTTTTAATGAGCTCAATTCTTGCTAAAGCAGGGGAGCCCAATAGATAGATTTTTATTTTTTATTTTTTATTTTTTATTGAGTTTCTGTGAGTAATTTACTGTGTATTTTCTTGTTTGGTGCAGGATGTTGATGTGGGAAGATGGGTTTTGCAGAAACAGAGTTACAGAGTGTTTGAATGAAATAGATGGAGAGGATCCTGTCAGAAAAGCCTTCAGCAAAATGTCTATTCAGTTGTATAATTATGGAGAAGGGTGGGTACTCGGTAGGTCCTTTTGTTTGATTTTCTTTCTGTCTTGTTCTCCACCCGACCCGACCCACCCCAGAAAGATAGTGAATTTGGGCAAAAATTGTGAAGAAATTGTGTTTTTATATGTGGGTTTATGAGTGCAGATTGATGGGGAAAGTTGCTTCTGATAAGTGTCATAAATGGGTATTCAAAGAGCCAACTGAATGTGAACCAAATGTCTCCAACTACTGGCAGAGTTCATTTGATGCAGTATGCATTATATCCATCTTTTTCATAATTGCTTATTTGATTATGCAGTAAAATAATTGATTTTGGACTTAATTAGGAAGTTGGGCTTTGATTGTACCAATTATTGGTCTGATAAACTAACTGGTAATTAATGATCCATTAATTCATTGATTGCAGCTTCCAACTGAGTGGATTGAGCAGTTTGAGTCTGGCATTCAGGTCAGGATCAATGGTTCAGAACTGTTTTTATTCTCACCGTCCCGTGCTTTGTATTGTATTGGATAGGATGGGACGGTATTAAGAAAGAAAAATAAGTTAAAATATTGTTTATTATGCTATCTAGGACGATACCGCGTTTTTCTTTTTAATTTCTTGCTTATTCTGTGTGCCCTTTGACATGATTTTGCCAGACTATAGCTGTTATTCAAGCTGGACATGGCCTACTGCAACTTGGTTCCTGCAAGATTGTGAGTAAATTTATAATTTTTTTCCAGTTTTGTAATATATTATATTCTTGGGAAAATCTAAAGCATACAATGGTAACACAATTATCTCATTGACAGAATGCATTTTTTTCTTATAAATCATTATTAGATACCCGAAGATCTCCATTTTGTGCTAAGAATGAGGCATACTTTTGAATCCTTAGGCTATCAATCTGGATTTTACCTATCCCAGTTATTTTCTTCTAAGCGTAATTCCTCGTCTTCATCCATGGTTCATTTAGAGCAACCAGTTATGCCGATTCGCCCTTCTCCTCCGGTATTTAACTTGGGCCAAAGGCCAATCTCTCCAGCAGTTCCAATGCTTACATCTCCAAATTTTCAAAAGACGGCCAAAGTTGGAATTCCATTTTCCGGAGATGAAGCTCACCTGTTTTTACTCCCTCATTCATCTGATATGAGGGGTGATCATGAAAACGATATTAAGTGGCCAAATGATTCGACTTTCTTCAATGCACTTGTTGAACAAACAGATGAAGATAAACCTTTGTTCAATCCCGATGGCTTTGGAAACAAGCATGACAATCAGAATCCAAACTCGGGTTTGGATAACAGTGATAATTCAAATCTCAACGAGTTCTTGAGCTTGGATAATCATCCAAAAATGGATAACAACTTCGAAGGGAGCTTTACTTTACCTGCAAGAATAGCTACTTCTTCAACTTCACTTGATCATCACGCACAAAATCCAGAGGAGTATACGAATGAAGCAGGAATGTACTCCGATGTTATGGAAACTTTCTTGGAGTGAGTTTAGAAGGCTTGTTTGGAAGGATGAAGATTGATCGTAAATTGTAATTAGGAAAAGGCATTCACTATGAAGAGAGTTTTTTCTGTCATGAATTGGATATCGATAAGGGTGTGTTTAACAACTCGTGTGAGATGTTTATTTCTTGTCTTGTTCAGCAGTTTTAAATTCAGTATACCGAACATTTCTTTAATATTTGAAATTTGATAAATGCTCTTGAGCATTGGATGGTTGAGTGAATTGCATCTTTGGCAATTTTCTCGCGAGAACTCATGTAATGTGAATGGTCAATCTCCTATACTTGCAAATTTGAAATTGAGAAACCATTCCCTTTGTGCAAGAACATGAACTTGCTACTATGGACTGTGATTGGAGTCAATTGACATAAACTTTTGGTAGTAATACAAAAATTTTCTATTCGCTTTTGATTTTTTAAAGTGTAATCTCCACAAAAAAAGTTCAACACTCTAAGCATTTTGGAAGCAGAGCATGCAGCAAAATTGAGCTTTAAATCTTAGAAGAATCACACTTTAAAGCACGACTCTTTCAATTTTTGCACTGACATTTAAATTGTCTCCCTTCTTATTTCAATCGAAACACTAGATGCAAAAATTTGATGTACTTTTCGTAGCAGTTCAACGGTTTGATTTACTTTTAGGCATTCTTCGTTTGCTTTGCTCTTCTTCTTTGGACACAACAATAATGGCATTGTAGCGAGTATAGCTTAGTGGCAAAGATGTGATTCGTTCCATTACCTCATTAGAAATTACTTCGTTGTTGCCAAAACTTTTTTTAGGTAAAAAATTGAGTCTTTTCTTCACATTCAAAAGGTTAGCAAAAGGTGGGGCCCTTAGGCAAGTTTACCCAACCCTAAAAACAGGCATTAAGATTTACTTTTTGATTTGTTTAATGCTGATTCCTCTTCCATTTCATTATCTCTAGGATTTTTTATAATCATATGATGATAAGTTTTAAGTGGAGCCTCTACTTTTGCACAGTAATGCTACTATTTAAGGCATGAAAATACAGACAAAAAGTGTCTCTATTCATTGATTCCACCAATCTTGCATGATCTAATTTGGGTGAACTTGTACAAATTGAGTTTTGCATCATCTGCTCAGCATGACAAGTGGCTTTCTCAATCAATCATTTGATAAAGAAATCTTTGTGTTTGTCCTAATTTTGTTGAATAATGGAGCTTATTATTGATTTGACGTTAGGGTTGGCTTGACAACACTACTCTTGAAATTCTTCTACTTGTTTGAATTTTAAATGTACCGAATTGCTTGTCGTATTTTGGGCTCCACTTAGAGCATGTTAGAAAAGTATTTGAAAACAGATTAAGAGGATAATACTTGTGAATCTCTCGAAATTTATGGAGAAAAAGTGACTTGAGTGTTTATAAATAATTTATGAACATGAGCGAAACATCGACTAAGTCTACGAATTATAATAATCTTACACTTTGTTAAGAGAAGTAACTTAAATTCTCATATTATTGTTTTCGTATTTAAGCAATATGAGATTTTACCCTTGATATCGATCTTTCCATAATAGCATGTTTGGTACATGTACTTCGTTCGATTTTATATGTAGTACAAAAATTAGACATAACCATAGATAAAACTTTAATCTGCTTTTCTTTCTTCTTCTTCTTTATTTTTTAAATACAATTCCAGGGATAAAATCTTTTAAAACGTGGTCAAAGAACAGGAAAAGGAGAAAAAAATGGACTCACTTAATTTTGTTATGTACAAGAAGACCAAGGTAAAACACACTTATCTACATTAATTTCGATCTCAATGATTCATATAGTCGACTCCACAAGTTATTCTGAATAATGTTTAGTTTCTTGTCAACATTGTGATCAAATTATGATCGCAATTGCAATCAAAACAAATTTATTTATGTTGATATTTCTATGTCATGTTATTTTTTACATGCTGAAACAAATGATCTCAAATTTTTCTTGCCAAACCATGATTTTCCATGATCAGAATTATCATTATCATCATTTTTCATTTTTCTTGATTTCAACTCTTTGCATTCAACTTTTACTGATCTTGATCTTGAACCCTGGCGCATCAAAACAGGCGCCGGGCCGAAAAATTGCCATCTTTGAGAAGAACTATAGTTGTATTGTGGATTCGAAACAGGTTTTTTCCCTGGAACTTTTCCTCCAGTACTTAAGATTTTTCTTTCAGATGCCTCGCTTGTACTTGTTCTAGCACTGCTGCAGTTGTTGCTCCTGCTATTTGTGCTATTACTGCACGATGACATAAGAGAATCCTTGCTGCTAATGCTGCTCGTTCAGCTCGTGGATTGCGAATGGGAAAAATTATTCGCAGGTCGATTTTGTGGAAACATGAGATAGAAGCTTGCCATTGAAGAACAAGTGATCAGCTGGAGAGTTTGGAGAGCCTGGTTTTGTAACCCATCCAAACTCAATTTCATCGGGATCCAAGTCTCAAACTGCGATTATTGAGAACGAATTGAGCGAGCAGGCCATTGTTTCGCCTTCGATTTTCCATTATTTGTGACAGAATGTTGAATGTTTTTATCTGGCACCAAGGGTGTGGTTTATATGAAGCTAAACCATAATGACCAGCTTTATTTTCATAAAAAAAGGATCGAGGAGAAATATTAAAAATAGACCCGTTGTTGACCATTTTGATTAAGCTTTGGTCGTCTACATCACGTTTAGTATAGTTAACTTTTGCCAACTCCATTGTCGGGTTGAATACTAATGATTCATGGAGCATGCAGCATATGTTGAATATGTGTGTAAATCATAGATCACACGTGTTTAAATTATGACTATTATTTTTTTTTTTTCAATGGTTAATTAGTGATGCTGACCTTCGAATTCAGTAAGATCGAGATATCAATAGATCTTGAATTCTCTCCCATTCACGTATATGTTACCTGCACACTTGAACATCACGTTAGATTGCACAAGATCGTAGCTTCGACGGGGTGCAACGGAAACAAAAGAGAATATTTAGAATTTAGATGTGGGAGAGACATAATGGATAGAAATTGAGGTTGGTGGGTTTAGCTTACACTTGCCAAGAGCTTACACTTTTTTTATACAATTTATTGAATGATATAAAGAACCAAAAATTTAACTTTTGTTTTTCTCAATGTCTCTAGAAGGAATGAGTTTGCGAATATATTTCAACTATCCAATCTTCTCTACCAAATATACTGTAATTGTACGGAGTAGGAATATATATAAGATCTCTCAAAGTAATGATGAGTTTAGCGTTGCTTTCCTCGTCTATGGAAACAGAGGCAAGAGCTTAGGACATCTTTAGATGAATGAGACTTATTTAATTTGATTAAAGCTTTTTTTGAGCCCAACGTGGCGACAATAAAAATGGTTGTTAATTTAGTGTCTCCCATTAGTGCCTCTATGTAGGACCTTTGGAACTCTTATGGTCTTTGGTACCAGCCATGGCTATTTTCATACTTTTTCTGGCACTTCATTTCTCTATTAATAAATCTTGTTTGGCTTTAATTGTCGCAAGCTAAAATATTTAGTAGTGCACTGTCAGGGATTGTTAACTGATGGATACTTAGTCGGCTGTTAACTCATTGGTTGTAGGTCAAATCCTACTTGGGGAGAATGTGTAGGTAATGTGTTGGCGTGAGTTGTTAGAAATCTTTTTCTGGAAACATAAATCATATATAATTGTATCATTTTAAGGGAATAGAATTAGATAATTATGTGTAGAATCAATTAATTAGCTACAGATTTGTGATTATCCAAAATTAGGAGTTTTTTTCCTATATAAACTCTGTAACCCACCTATTGAATGTATGAATGAAAATTACCTCTTGTGTGTATTGTGACATGGTATCAGAGCAGGACACACGGTCCTGGTTCCTTTTCTCCAAGTTACCTGTAGCCCGGTTCTTGTGAACATTTTCACACATGGAAGACTCCAACTTCATCACCGATCCCAGCCAATCTTCACCTAATTCTGATGCTATACTTACAGATATTTCCACCAAAATTTCTGAAGCCTTAACCAAGACACACATATCAGCCTCACTCACTGAAAATTCGCCCCAGATTGGTATCAAACTGAATGATACAAACTATGGCCTATGGTCTTAGGTCATGGAAATGTATATTTCCGGGAAAGATAAACTGGGTTACATTAATGGAGATACACCTCCACCCCTACCAACTGATCCCTCCTTCCGAAAATGGCGAACTGAGAATGCCATTGTCAAGGGATGGATTATCAATTCGTTGGACCCTGTTCTGATTGGCAATTTCATTCGTTTCCACACTGCTAAGGAAGTTTGGGATGCTATTGCCACTACATACTTTGATGGGAATGATAAATCCCAAGTCTATGATCTTCGACGAAGGGTGAGTCGCCTAAGACAAGCAGGCGGATCTGTGGAGAAATATTACACTGAACTGCATGGGTTGTGGCGCGAAATTGACTTCCGTCGCCCAAATCCAATGAAGTGTGCCGCTGACATCCGCCACTTCAATAATTTGACCCAGGAAGACAGAGTTTACACCTTCCTTGATGGGCTCGATGAACGTCTCGATAGCATCCGTAGTGGAGTTTTGCAGATGGACCCGTTTCTTACCGTTGAGCAGGCGTATGCGTACGTCCGTCGTGAGGCACTGCGACAAGCAGTCATGATTTCTACAGACTCCGACAATGGTCTTCCTGGAGTGATCTTGGCAACCAAAGGCCTGAAGATGGGATCATTTGTTGTTGCTGGAATAAATTCTTTAAAGGGAGACCCAAATAAAAGTGGTGGAGGCCCAAATAAAAGTGGGCCAAATAAGTTAAAGGGTTTGGATGAGGAAATTAAGTGTTCATACTGTGGAAATAACAAGCACGCACGAGAAAACTGCTTTAAACTTAATGGATACCTCGATTGGTGGCATGAGTTGCAAGAAAAAAAGAACAAAAATGGGACGGGCACCAATAAGCGAATAGGCAAGGCGGCCGTGGCAACATCTGACTTTCAACTATCTTTGATTCCTGAAAATGATTATTTTCAGGATACGGACCCCTCATCAGAACCAGGTAATTTTGGTTCAGCTTGTGTTACATCCTCCAGTGACAAGAATAATAACTTATGGTTACTTGACTCTGGGGCAACTGACCATATGACTTATGATGAAAGAGATTTTATTCAAAGGACCTCAC